CTACGATCAGGCATGACCCACACACACAATTTTTGTCATTTTTGGCGAAGCCGCGAAGAACCCTTCTGGTCCGCATTCGACGCCTCACAAAGGTGCCTAGGGCCGTGCAATTAATATTCTAGAGACAAGTCATGACCTAGGGTCAAATTCCCCACTTAATTAATATAATAAGGTAGGCCGTTGGATTGGGTATTTCACTGTAGACTGAGGTTTAAGAAAGCTAGACAGTGATTTGACCTGTTTGAAGGGCAAAAGTAAAAATAAAATAACTGAAATGGCAATGAGTTAGTTTCAACCGCCCTCAAACGAACATCACAAAATAGTTTGTATCGCTCGCTCTGCACGACCACTGTCGGTTTGTGGGGACATCGTACTCACCAAAATACGGAGACAAACATCATAATACACGACTAATTCAGATATAGTATGTGTGCGAGAGCCGGTTTCCCACTGTCCGGATGTACAACCATGGTCCAACTTTACCGACGGTGAATAACGATTGGCGAATGAAATGATGATAAAAGGGAATATTGTAAATAAAGTATGGAGTGATATTTTGCTTTAAATATTATTTGATCGGTTGAAATACTGTTAGGGTAAAATTAAATCGAGTGTAAGCAATTATATTTAAATTAGGAAAGAATTTAGGATTTTCGAATACATATGCAAGACCTGGATGGCCGAAAACGACGTCAATGAATTGAAAATATTCATAGCGTAATCGTTATGGATCGGACTAAAGGTCAAGATTAATACTATATTTAAACCGTCTTATCAGTTTGCTAATCCCCAAAATAAACATCATAAATACACTCCCCCGTTATTTAAATCCTTTGCGACCCCTCTCAATGAATAAAGTTGATGGCGAATGATAAACCTAAGAAAATTAATCAATTTTAATAAAAATACAAAACAAACGGATCTATTAATTATTTTTCTGAACTTTGTCTGAGTGGCATCAATTACAGAAGCAAATGTATTTTGACATTTCACAACTAAAGTCTAGTAAGAAGCAAAAGTGGATCCATTCGCCTGAGTATCTTCCTCTGTTTCATCACTTAAAAGTAAGGAGATGTAAACTTGTAGATAAAGTTTTTTTTATTATGTTTATGCATTCTCAAATGTGAACTACACCAGTGTTTTGAATTAAATTTTCTTCACGTGCGATTTACATGAGCGTTTATTAAATTAACGTCGTTTTGATAAACTATCGTAAATTTAGATGTTTCGCAACAATTTTATCCAGATTGTTGCTTAAATATGTTTGTTGGTTTAATGTATTAGATATTATGTGAGGTCACATTTTGAATTGAGTGGCGAATAAAATCACCTGTGTTTCTTGCTTTGAGTTCGGGTAGTTTTGTCCGATTCAAGTAAAAAGAGGTGCATAAAATAATAAATCAGAAAAATTTTATTGTAGCATAAGAACCAGGATTTTAGGTAAATTTTGAATTACATTAAATATTGGACGAAATTATAGCGTTCGGAATATTCTCGTTTTATTCGATATTACAGAAACATTGCAATTTATTTTTATTTTTTTCAGGTATCACTCCAAACTGTTTGTACTTTATTATCTTGTTATCATATCCTAAATGTCATGCTCGATGATCCATTCTTTTTTTTTTGGGATCCCATGGATATACCGTAATGTGCTTGTTTTAAACACTGACCGATAAGTATGTCTGCGTTCGCCGCAAACGATTTAACGCACTATGAAAAATCTATATATTTTACGCGAACAATGAGCTGATCATTTCCTAGGAAGATAAAACTTCAGAGATGTTTGGACAGTGATACAATGATGTAAATTACCAACAATTATCAACCAATGCTTTAATCATGCATTAATCAAAAAATCTTTCAAAACAATCAAAAATTAAATAAAAGATTAGGGATATTTAAAAGTCGCTAAAATTTTTTGCCGTGAATATCGGTTATAAGTCAGTAAATTATATTTCCGCAAATTATCCCGAGTCTCGCTATTATTCCGTCTTGTGACCCGAGGACGTGCCCCCAGCGTGAAAACTTGTTACTACTTTATTATCTTCGACATGGAGTGAAGTCAGGATAAATTTACGTCTCATAATAGAAGAAAAATACTATACGAGAATATTTAATATTTCATTGTTTCATCATTGTTTAACCCAAATATTTCAAACATTTTCCCAAAAAAAATTCAAAACAATTCTTCCGCATTGACAACAATCACTTTGGCGGCAAATGTATATAAAAATTCTGCTACTTAGAATTGGCTGTTTAATCTTTTGGATTCTTATTATTAAATTCGATATGAACTCATGGTTTTACTTTTGGATTATGCAATTTCAGTAAATTGAAAATGAAATATAAATATTTCTTTTTCTACAATGACAAATCTTTTTAAATGGGTACAAAACGCCAAATACGGTTTTGCATTCCTTAAAAGAAACAAGAAACTAACGAAAGTGTCGTTTATCGCAATCACTGAACTGTTCACTGTGTTTAACCAATCAACGAAACCAACTGATATACAGTACTTAAAGGCTAAATGTCCAATTTCGTCCAGGAGAAGTCTTTCGAATACACTGTGAAATAATATTTTGAATCTGGATTAAGTTCCAAATTGGGCCATGGGCCACAATATAACTTAATATTACCAATCTTGTCCATGGAAACGAAGCAGGAGGCGCTCCCGAAGTATATGCACCAAGATGGCGCACAACCTGATAACCCAATCTGGTACACATACTATGTTCAGGTTGTGCGCCATCTTGGTGTACATACCTCGGAAGCACCGGAAAACGTAGCAGGAGATGGGACTGCACACATTTGGGTTTTTTTTGCAACTCGTGGGACAAATGAACTCATGAGACAAGCCGAACACGTTCAAAAATTGGGACAAACTTTTTTTCAGATATTGTTGCGCGTGTAGCTTAATATAATAGATATTAATAACATATTCTGTCCGTAGTTATTCTCCTTATATCACAATTATCCCTCTGCATGCGTATGTATTCAGCCTAAAAAAAACGATACTTATTTTTTCTCGCGCTCGGAAATTTGAGTTTACTGGGGAAAACGAGCTATTATATAATCTCTTGCAAGTGATGCTAAAAATAATCAAGAAGTGAATACGCAACCAAAAATTCCTAGAATAAAATGCGGCATGATAAAATCGTGAAAATAAAACGACCCATAAATGCACGACAAATCATGTTAAGACAATGTTCAATGCGAAATCTGTTGAGGACAATAACATATCGTCACCGAATTGCCTAAGTCATTTTTGTTTTTCATAAAATAGTTATTTATGTAATGCTGCGCACCTGTCTGTTAACTCAGGTTTTATCCCAAGAATTCCGCACCCCATAAAAATGAAGATTTTGTGTGGCATGCTTATTCTTGCTATTGTTTCGTCATAATGAATTGTCATTGTTTAACGCAGGACTATTGTGACTTCACAAAAGCAAAATAAGATCTGCGAAGTATTTTCGAGTTTTTGCATCTTAGATTCTAGCTTAGCGCTTATAAATTTGAAATTTACACTCCAGCGTAGAAAAGTGTGCAATGGTGATATTCACTATGTAAGTCCAATTCACATTGATTGGCTTTTATTCAAGGATGCATTGCTCCTTTTTTCTTCATTTTTTAGATATGGAAAGCCTTATTTTAGGTATACAAGAGCAGAGCGCAGTATATTGATGACATATATGTTTTGAACATAAAAACAATGTTATTGAAACAGATAAGCTATTTTTGGATTGGACGTCGTAGACACTGGGAATTACATTTGTTTTTCAAATATTTGGTTCTCAGGACTGGTGTATATAGTGAAGTTGCAAAATTGCGTATGTTCCTAATTCATAGGCACATTTCTGCGTAAGTCACAGTGCGCCATTGTGACGTCACATACCTGCGTCATACAAATTACCGTACATACTACGCACCCGGTATGATACTATCTCTTAAAAATATCTTAATTTAATAATGTGCCCTTTCATACACACTGTAATACTAAAAATATAAATTCTTGACTTTTTTAAAGGAAAACAATCAAATGAAAAAAAATTGAAAAATTGAAAAAAAAAAGACTGAAAAGTTGCTAAAAGCGGCATTCTATTGCAATTTTTCTGAATGCCGATTATTTTCGTCAGCGTTGCGTGGTAATAATAATTACATTAATAAATAAATATCTCTATCTCCGTATTTATTATTTTTATATGACACATTTCCATCGACAGATGTATAACCTATGCCACGAGCCCGACGATAACTAGTTTTTTTTTTATCTCGCCCTGAAAATTTGATTTCAATGAAATAACAGTAATGAACTCTTCATTTGAATTTTGCAATTCGAATAGTTTTTGTGGTAAATTGTGATAACTTCTTGTGAATTGCGAATAAATAAAAAAGTAGGGTAATAAATAGGCCAATAGTATTCTGTCAAATGCAACGTTATCAGTGGTTTAAAAGACATGTTCTATTCTTTTGTATTAAATTCCCAAATGTGCTATATATCAAACCTCATATATTAATTATATCAGCACTTGAACACATCGCAATTTTAACATTTTTTCAAAATGCGTGGAGTTTCCGCATTTTACGGAACAAAAAGCGCACCGGATTATATTACACAGTGTCAATAAATTGCTTAGATTGTTTTTGTTTTAGCATATGAAGGTTCGACGATTTTTAGGCATTATCGGGTTACAGTACTGAGCTCATTACACAAATAACTAAATATTTTTATGGTTATTGTATTTTAAAGGAATCTTTCAAAATAACAAAAAATTAAAATAAAAGCATTCGGGAGACTGAAACAGTCGTCAAATTATTACCCCGAGCAGTATTAATAAGTTTTATTATCTTAAAAATACAATACAAACGACACATATTATTCAAATCACCCTATAAATTGTATCGATAGGTTCATCTTTATTTATTCTCAATCATGCTAGAAATACATCATAGCTAACCATATATAAATAATCGTTGAATATTTATTTTACAGATCGATGAATTAACCCTATCTGACAAAACCATGAAGGGTGAAGCATTCCGAAAATTTACTGAAGTTGCCTCAATTACAAATGCAGGACAAGTATCGTTCATCAACTGTAGTCTAACAAGTGAAAAACTGAAAGTATTTAGGCAGGGAGCTGCTGACCGTGGCTTAAAAGTAAGAAAATGTAAACTTGTTGATAACGTTTTTTATCATGTTTTTGTATTTTCAAATGTGAATCACACTTGATGAGTTTTGAATTACATTTTCTTCACATGCGATTTACATAAGTATTTATTAAATTAACGCTGTTTTGATCAACTATTCGTAAATTTAAGCTGTTTCGCAACAATTTTCTCCAGATTGTTGCTTAAATATGTTTTTTGGTTTAATTTAATGGATATTATATGCGGCGACATTTTGGAATGAGTGGCGAATAAAATCACTTATATTTCTTTCTTTGAGTTCGGGCAGTTTTGTGCGATTCATGTATAAATAAGAGCATGAATTGATAAAATCGGAAAAATGTCATTGCTCCATATGGACCAGGATTTTATGTAAATTTCAAATTACATTATACAATGGACGCAATGATAGTGTTAGGATTATCCTCGGGTTATATTTGGAATTCAAATCTGTTGGTATCACTCCTAACGGTTTGAACTGCATTATCTTTTTTTTATATTATAAATATCATGCTCAATGATCCGCCAATTTTTTTTGTGATCCCATGGATATACCGTGACCCTTGTTTTTAAACACTGACCGATAAGTATGATTGCGTTGGCCGTTAAATAATTTAACGCACTATGAAAAATCTATATATTTTACGCGAACAATGAGGTTGATTAGTCCTAGGACGATATTACATATGACATGAATGGATACAGCCATGTAAATTAACAACAATTAACAATAATCAATGCATTATTATTGGTTCGAATTAAATTATTTCTGATCTTACAAAAGTTTTACTTTGGTAATATTTTAGATTGCAAATAAAAATAATAAATTTATATCAAGATATAGCTGTATTTATATACTTTGTTATATGTGGTTCCAGTGTTAAATATTACGAACACAAATATAATAATATAAAACGATTTACAATATTTATCTGTCGCTAAATACGCTTGCATTGGAAAACATTGCTGGTTTATTTTTTTACTAAAAGTTAATTCCTCTAAAAAATTAATATTTTGTTAATGCGTGTATATTGCAATACCACGAGAAGGTACATTCACACATCTCATGCTGAGCACTTATTATATGCAGCCCTAAGAATCTTGCAATGTGTCATGTATTTGCATTATTTAAGGCTAGTTTAGAGGGGAAAAAGTGCCAAACGTATCAAATAAAATCTTTCCGAGTATTTGTATTTTGCAGCAACAAGAGGAATAGACTTTTTTTCGTAATTTTTTATGGCTCATCGAATATTTCAAGTTACGAGCAGCCATTCGTTTCACATGTTCAAACACTCACATTTTCGTTCGTAACATTATACTACAATACTTGTGTTATATTTAAAAAATTATATAAAATCTTATAGTAAAATGATAATTGACAACTTTGCGCAGCGGATGCAAGGTTGTCGTTATGGTTGAGGAGGTTCCTTGGAACATATTCTAAATATAACTTTTCTGAAACGCATAACCTATATTACTGGTAAGTTGAAGTGTAAACAAAATGAACTCCCTTCTTTTAAATCTGAGTAATTATCAAATTATTAGATCTGTGTTAATTTGAGGTCACCATATTTTCTATATACTTACGAGTATATGACCCCACAGACCCCGACTAACAAATATTGTTAGAATCTTCCGGATGTTCAATATCTTACCCATATAAATTATTCGCGACAAATACATATTCAAATTTTACTATCTTTATGTATAAAATATATTGTATTCAGAGTAATTAAAGTTCATAATTACATTCAAATTAATATTTCCATAATTATTTTTCAGATCAATACTTTATGCCTAGCAGACAAGATCATGGAGCCAAAAGCATTTCATGAATTCGCTCAAGTTGCCTCAACCGTCGAGTCAGGAATAGTGCAGTTTGGTGTCTGTGATCTGACATGTGAAAAACTGAATGCATTTGCACAAGAGCAATTGATTTTGCTTTGAAAGTAAGAAATTAGAATATTGTTGTTCAAATTTTTTTTTTATTTAATACTTTTTAAAAATTAATCGTATCAGAGCATGTTTTAATTGTATTCTATACACAGGCGTACTTTACGATATTATATGTTTTGATGAAAAATGCAAGGTAAATATTCAACAATGTATGCAAACGGACTCTTCGTTTAAATTTTTGCAGTCAGAAAGAATGATGTAATTTAAATATATTTATTTGAGATAATATCCTGTGCATTTAAATAATCCAATAGTAATTTTGAAAAAAGAATGTCAACGGTGCAAAGGTCATGTCCAATTTTATTGCATTGAATTCATGAATTTGCTATATCTCAAACCTCATATGTCATATCAGCGATTAAACATATCGCGCTTTTCACATTTTTTTCAGCTTTTATTGATTCCGGTAATTTACAGACCACAACGCGCACCCGATTATATGACGAACTGTCAATAAATTGCTTAGATTGTTTTGTTTCGTCATACATAAGGCGCACCGGGCTATAAATTCAACGATTTTTTAGGCATTATCGAGTTACAGTACAAAGCCCGTTACACAAATAGCTCAATATTTTATTGGTATCGTATTTTATTCAAAGAAATTTTTCAAAACAATCAAAAATTAAATAAAGAATTCCGGAGACTAAAATATCGCTAAATTCTTTTTCCGTGAATTTCGGTTATGAGTCCGTAAACTTTATTTCTGCAAATTATCCCGTGTTTCGCCTTTATCGTTCTGAACATATATGTCTTGTGACCCGAGGACGTGCCTCCAGCGTGAAAATCTTGTTATTACTCGATCTTTTTTAACACGAGACAATAAACGAACGAAATTGCTATTTTTGTCAATCACTGAACTGTTTACTGCGCAGTGTTTAACCAAATAACGAAACCAACAGATAGATATACTTACAATTAGAATGTCTATCTCCGGGGCGGAGAAGTCTTCCGATTACACTGTGAAATGATATTTTTGAATCTGGATTAAGTTTTATATTGGGCCATCGGCCACAAGATAACTTAGTATTACCATGCTTGAGCATGGGAAACGTCGAACGGGATGGGACAGTACACATTTGTTTTTTCTTCGGAACGCGTGAGGCAAGTGGACTCATGAGACGAGCGGAACACGTGAGGAAACAGGGACAAAGTTTTGTTCGCCAAAAAATGCATTATGTCATTAGGAGTGCGGTTTAAATATGATAGGAAGGTAACTTAAATAGAACAATAGTAAGTATACATTGTTAAAGTCAGATACCGTTGCGCCTGTAGCAAAAGTAATAGATAATAATATTACATTACATAGCGCTAGACCAATTCTAGGTTTTGGATTAGGACAAAACTTGGCTTTCCGATCTGGGATGGAGTCTTTAGAACTCAGAAAATTAATAACGATAGGGCCGGAGAAAAGCGGGTTGGTTACTTGGCCTGGTTATACACTTTGTGTACATCAAATATATAGACCTAAATGAATCCATTTTTATAAATTTTGTAAATTTATTGAATTGTATTCAAATAAGAAGCTCACGGGATGGAATGGGACAGGCATAATTTTCTATGAGGTGGAGTAAGACGGGATAGAAAAATAAGCCCAATCGACAAGCCTGAATATTACATAAACCAAAACGCTTCTCTAGACCCTCAATGATAAAAAAAAACTGGAGAATTGTGCTCGATGGATCACGTCGTAATGAACCCCTGTTATTGTTTCTCATTTATCACCAAATAATTTCATACTGATTCATTTCGAGATTATTAAGGCACATCCACACGCCAACGATATGAATATTTCACAGTGTAATATTATTAAAAGAGCCAGATAGGGGTTTGTCCAGTTGGAAGTTCTAAAGTAAAAAAAAACGGGAAAAGACTGAAATGGCGGAAAGTTAGTTCAAACCACCCCAAAACAAACTTCACCCGATAGGTTGCGTCGATCTGCATGGTCACTGTTGGTACGCGGGGACGTAGTAACTTGCCAAAATGCAAATTCAAACATTGTAACACACGACTGATACCATCCAGATATAGTATGGAGCGTTTTTACGATGTACCAACGTGGTGACTGAAGAGATGATTATTAAAGAGAATACTGTAAATAAAGTATGGGATATTATTTTGATTCTAATATTTTTTATTCAGTTGAAATACAGTTGTGAGGTAAAAATAAATTGATTGTAAGAAATCATATTCAAAGTACGCGTGAATTTAGAATTTTTTTAATACATTTTCAAGATCTGGATGGTCGAAAACGACGTCTATTAATCAAAAGAATTGAGTGCATGGGCGTTACGGACCGGTCAAGAGGTCCATGATTATAATATAAGTAATCGGTCTTATTGATTTTTTTATTCCCAAGAATGGAAATGAGAAACAACAACTTCTCTAAAATTATCCAGTGCTGCTTCCTCCTCAGTGAATGAAGCAAATGACAAAATGATATTCCGATCAGAATAAATCAGTTTGTTTTAATCGTTTAAAAATACAATACAAACGGAACCAAATTTTTCCAGGGGGCTCAAGTACAGAAGCAAATTTATTGACATTTCACTAGATAATCCCGGTTTCAAGAGAAAGGTTATTTAATGCTAATAGTAAGAAATGTGCAAATTAATTTGGGCTAATTGATAATATGGAGTAAATATGTATTTGTACGTTTTTGTTAGATTTTTATTATGTCTATGCATTTTTAAAGTGAAACATGCTAGATGTGTTTTCAAATACATTTCAATTACAAATTCAAATACAATTATGCGTGTTATACACGAGTATGTATCATGATAAGGCAGGTAAATAAATCCAATAGCTGTTGAATATAAATTTGAGAAAATGTCTACAACGATGTAAGTTGTTTGAATTTTGATATTACAAAGTAAATACGAATACCTCAAAGTATTTTAATTTCATTGATCGTATATTGAATCACCTATTTAGCAAACATGAGATAGAAATGAAGCTTTGCTTATTTTCTTGGTTTTCTAAGACGTTGTTTTATTTTGATACACCTTATTATTCAACGGGTTATATTATAAACACAAG